GTGAATTTCCACATCGGTAACATTTGGCTACCAGTTTGAGCGTTTTGCCACGGATGGCGCCACCGTCGATCCTTGTGAATTTCCACATCGGTAACATTTGGCTACCAGTTTGAGCGTTTTGCCACGGATGGCGCCACAGTAGAAAATCCAGAGTTTTTGAAAGCAGATAATTCGTGCCGCAATATACATTACATACTATGCAGAGAACGGCAAGAATTATTTGTTGTATTGTAAAGCTTATGTACTGAAATAAAAAAAATAAATTTCCCTGAGCTATGTTGCCTTTCTTCAGACAAAGATTGTCAGTCAATATCAAAGAGAATTTCTAATTAAAAGAAATTCTTTTATATCATCATCCTGTCAATGATTAGGTGCAGGCCTTCCCCCTATCGTCAAAACATTGGAGAATTTTTCTCACTGTGTTTTTCCACTGGAGAATACTTATTAATTATATAATTTTTGATACCAATATCAATTATTAACTAAACTATTTACATATTGCTAAAGTTTCCACGATCGTTCCGCAAAGATGATACATTTAAACACCTCTACGTGTTTTTTTTCTTAACAACTTTTTATTCATAATAATATTTAAATGTAGATTCGTATATAAATTATCATTATGCGCACAGTAAACTTAACATTTTCCAACATCCATCCGTTTAATTCCCCTGTTCCGCGGTTGGTCGCCGCGGAACGTGGCACAATGATCGTTAACCTCGGTATTGTTCAATTAGTCCTCGCCTTACGATAGTACAAAACTAGTTTACCTATGTACAAGGTGTACAAACCGTGCAGAGCGAACGAAACACCAAGTGGACGTTTTGTGTGCATCGATCGTGTCACGTTCATTCGATCATCGTATACGGTCTTCATATTTCTCTCTCTTTCTCTCTCTCTCTCTCTTCCATCTCGTGGCAAAAATCTTCGAGTGATCGATCATTCACAGGACCGCGTGTCCTGAGCGTTCGCAATTGTATATAGGTAGACGTATAACAACGATTGGTTCAGTGTTTACATTTTAGGTGATCTCTACGAGAACACATGAGCAATTATCATTGACAATGATTATACCTATGTTCGCTAATTTGGGCAGAATGGACAACGATGATTCACGCGAATGATCTACATCACAGATCTCCCCGGGTCACGAGTGTTCCGCCTATATAAAAAATAGAAGTATCTCTCTCGCCCTCTCTACGAATTCCGGATCGCTGGCTGAAGAAAATAGAAATGCTCGCGGATGCTTCCTAAGTCTAACAATCGATTTCAACAATAACAACAAACATGATTCTGAATACCCTCTGTCGCTAATTTAGCACTGAGTCAGGGTCCTGGACCCCGGTTCGAACGTCTCTGTGAACCCCTGTCCTTATAACACCTCGTCGAATTCTGAGCATTTTTAATTGAATTTGCCAATCGCTAAAACCTTCAACACTAGAACTACAAAATCATTCCTGATTGCTTTAATAACGATTAAAAATATAACAGACAATTTTCAAAGAAATTACTACAGAAACTGATTCAATAATAGGCAAGCTGAATTACAAATCCGAAATCTCAATATCACTGAAGAATTCTTCTTTCCACAGAAGAATTTCAAAAAGTCTGTTCGGTAGTTCTAGCGTTCAGATCTAAATAGATACAATATTAAATTCCAGATTATTTCGGCATCGAAGTTCATAAGGCGAGGGGTTAATTCGGGGTTCCCGGCGACGCGCGTCGCGACGGAAAATCTTATTGCCTAGATCACGAGGACGCGCGTCCTCTTCAGCTGACCGCGTCGGCGGAAGCGCGTCTTAAGATGGTTCGTTCGTAAGTATCATTGTAAACCGGAGGATCCTCGCGCCGGCGTCGCCGGGACGTCCCGGTCGTTAAGGCACATGTCGGGTTGCACGCAAGGCACGTAACAGGAATCGAACGTTTCGGTTTCGAAGACGCACGCGTTCCCTTTTCGCTTTGTGCGGTTTCGCAATTCGTAGAACACGGTCGGTTGAATTATCGAACGAAACAATCGAACGATTCGAACGGGACACCCTTCTCTTCACTTCTCGCGCACGTGAAACCACGGGAAAAAATCGTGGACTCTATTACAACATACGCGATAATAATTCCGCTCGACCCGCGCGAGTTCGACGCTTTCTGAGATGTTTGCGCGAGCACAGGTGTCCCGGTCGATTCGCGGGAACTGGATATCGCACGGGAAATTCCTTCTTAATCCCGGCAAAAGGTTCTATATCGAATTCCCGATAGAATAGAAATCGCGTTATATCACTATCGGAGAGCGTGTCACGGAGTCGCGTGTATATTCCGAACGCGTGAAACCGCAGCCCGCCGATCGCGAGTTAAAATAACACGATTCCGGTTCGATGGATTTCCCGTTCCTATCAGGTTGCTCCTCTAACGGGTAAGTTCAAGCGTAAACGTCACAATTTGGTGCATCATTCTACCGTTCTACGTTTAGAAACTATACATTACTTCGTT